TCTGAAAGAATTTTTTATACAAATAAAACAACAAAATCTAAGCCCAAAGAAAAAAATGAAGGGGGGTGTGTAGTCCTAAATCCCCTTAAACTTTTGAGTAGGTTCAAATCAATTGAATTTTGTGGCATTATTAGTTTAACACATTATTTTTAAAATTTTTTGCCTCCTATCACTTTTTCGAAAAACTAGCTTTTTCCTAGTTGACCATAAAATTACAATTAGTTTTCACGGATACCATAATTACAAACAGTTCCATCAATAATAGTCAATAATATGGAGCTATCATTTATTGTGTGAATAAGATTAATATTAAAAATTTTAATTACGAAAAATTACAATGGCCTAGACATTTCAGGAATAGGCAGATATGCATTTAACTTTGGGTAATTTGGTTCAGAATAAATTATGACTTCAATAAACTAGCGGGAATATCGTAGGTGAATGTCAAGGAAATAGTGCAGCAGCCGCAAGGCGTTATGCAGTAAAATACCCCAATAGAAATACATCGATAGATGATTATTTCTGACCATTGATCGTCGTTTACGGGAATCAGGTACATTCCAACCGCAAGTTGCTGGCAATAGTGGTCGTCCAATAATGCATACAACTGATGAAGACATTTTAGAAATCATTGATGAAGTCCCTGGAACACGTACAAGGGTAATAGCTGCTCAACTAAATGTTTCTTACGTAAGGGTTTGGAGGCGTTTTAAGGATCAGCTGCTTAAACCCTATCACTTAACAACGCGCAACGGTTCAAGAGTTATTGGTTGAAGATTATCCTAAAAGAATTGGATTTTGCGATTGGTTGTTAATGGAAAACACTCGAAATGTTAATTTTATTAGAAATATTTTGTTTACCGACGAGGCTACCTTCAGTAGAAATGGAATAACAAACCATCATAACGAGCACATTTTGGCCGACAAAAATCCTCACGCCAAAAAAACGACTCATCACCAAAGGACTTTCAAAGTTAATGTTTGGGCAGGAATTGTGGATAACAATCTAATAGGCCCCGTATTTCTTCCCAACAATTTAAATGGTGATAATTATTTGCAGTTCTTGGCAAACGATTTACAAGAGTATTTGGAAGAAGTGAATATTGCAATAAGGCAAAATATGTGGTTTCTACAAGATGGCGCTCCACCGCATTACAGTAATGAAGTCCAGGAATACCTTTGCATGCAGTATCCTAGTCGGTGAATTGGAAGGGGTCGTAACGCACATATTTCTTGGCCACCCAGAAGTCCAGGTCTTAACCCCATGGACTTTTGCTTTTGGGGTTTATGAAAGAGAAAGTGTATTCTGTAACAATAGAGGACGAACAACAATTGAGGGTTAGAATAATTGAAGCTGCAAATCAATTTCATCAGAAAATTATGATTTTTATTAAAACGATACCGAATGTGTATTAAAGAAAATGGGAGTCATTTTGAAAATTTATTATAATATCACATTTATAGAGGTTATAGACATTTTTTGTACTTGTTAATTCATTTAAGCCATTTATTTGGTTTAATAAATTTTTATCACACAATTTTTTAAAGGTTAGTGAAAAGGGCCGTAACTCAATATAAACTGTGTTTTGAAAAAAGTGATAAGAGGCAAAAAATTTTAAAAATAATGTGTTAAGTTAAGGATGCCACAAAATTCATTTCATTTGAACTTACTCAAAAGTTTGGAGGGATTTACGGCTTCACACCCAACTTAAAATTTTTCAGTGCGCTTAAATTTTGTTGTTACTTTTTATGAAAAATGCATTCTGAACAAGAAAGTAACGTGTAAATTTTTATTACAAAATGCCAAATAGTTTAGGAGATAATGCAAAAAAAAACAATTTTATTTTGTAAATTCAAAGGGCTGTAACTTTTTTGTGTACGCTTTTGTACTAAGGTAAGTTGGATTCAATCATTTATTTTTGTTCCGGAATGGTATTTTATGGTATTTCTTATTCTTATGTCCGTGTAAAAAACACTATTTAAAGTAATTGAGAATCTAACAAAATGTTGGCTTAGAGCTAAAGCGATTTTTATCTACATCATGATTTTACATTCATCCCTATTCAGGGTCAGCTTCCCTAGTCAGATAAATATCCTTATGGATATCTCTATTGCAGCGTTTCATAAGAAACAACTGATCAGTATGCAAACTTAATGATCATCGATCTCGGAATCTATCTAAGATCCATCAAGGGAGAGAGACCACAAACAGACCACGGTTTCTTCCAGTTGTCAATCCACGAAAACCCCGTGCCACAGAAATCCATAATTTGTTCGTCGAACTTTTATCGACCGTCCAAATTCGATGTGTGTGCGCTTAGCATAAAATTACTCAATATTCAGCTAGACATTTCCATCCTACTCGTATTTGAAACGAAATGGTTTAATATATTGAAGAGTTATGAATTCATTTATAACAGTCATGGAATGCCGAATGACCCAGAAGTAACGGAGTCGCCATAATTCTTCAAGAAGGATTCGTAAGTGTATTCTGAATTTTGTTCCTTTCAATGATCACATCCTATGATGACTCAGCTTCATAGTAACTTAACTAATATCAACTTATTAAGACAGTGGTGTAGGGTTCTGTTACAAAGGTAGCACCTTTTATCGGAACTACCTTATCGAGCGTCATAGGTGGGAGATGGTTCTCTAACACTAGAAAGACGGAGGTGGTCATTTTGACCAATTTGCTTTTTCAAAGTTTAATATCTTTTCAATTAGTTGAAGATCTTTGAATTTTTTGACTTTTTCTGAACTAAACTGTTCTATACATCGCATCGGTAGTGTTTTATTTTAATTTTATTTAAAAATTCCTGTTTTACGAAATAATACCTCTAGAAGGATGACAAATGATCATTTTGACCCGAATCGATTTATGTGGGTTATTTCACAAATACTTTTACGTGGGAATTTCGTAGAAGGACAAGTGGTAATTTTGATCCAAATCGATTTATGTGGGTTATAAATTTCATTTCGTTCAATTGGCAATATAATTTTCCAAAAATAATATTTCTAGGATTTGTTTTCAAGTTATTGTCGGTTTGTGCAATATTAGTCTAAAAGCCGTCGGTGACAGTCTGTTATTGGATTGATTTTCAAAAGTGTGGTCAAGTCGTGGTCGTGGTCTTACTCAGTAACAAGCTTTGGATTATTTAGAGAAACTACAACAATTATCTGAAACTGAATCTGACTAAAGATTTTCAAGAAATAATGAAGAGAATGCGGAATTTGAAGCAACTAATTTTGCTGCGATAACAGTGATGATGAAAATTTTCAACCGCCTTTGAGAAGCTACAGTGATGAGAGCACTGATAACTCCGATAATGAAGTCTGTGATAATGAAGATCTCCTTTGACACCTATCATGGATGCAGAAACCTCTGCTGATGGTACTGTGCGGGAAAAAATTAATCTGAGCACTTTTCTTCGAGGGAGAGGAGGTAAACGAAATGAAAAACAAAAATTATTGTCGTATCTGTTTTAAGTGCTTTTTACTTATTCATTGACGGTTATATTTTGAAACACATAAACCGGTGCACAGAAGTTGAAGCTTGTCGACAATTGCAAACTAAAGAATGGAAAATTTCACTAAAAGAAATTGAAGCGTTTGTTGGGCTTTTGTATGCTCGTGCAATTTTAGGGCAAAACGACTGTATTCAAAAACGGAACGAAATCTGATGTATCCAATTACAGACCGGTATCTTTGTTATCCAATTTTTCAAAGGTTTTCGAAGTAACTCTATATAATCGTATTTACCCTTCTGTTAGGGGATGGATATCACCTTATCAACCTGGTTTTATAGATAAACGCTCTACTGTATCAAACTTAATATATTTCAGATGTTTTGGATGTACAAGGTCAAGTAGATCATATACTGATTTTTCTAAAGCGTTTGATAAGGTTGATCACAAATACCTTCTCTTTAAATTATCATATTTGGGATTTGCTGGAAACATTCAAGTGTCAAATATGTTGCAGTAAGAAAATTACGACAAATATTTATATCTGAATTATTCTGTGCTGATGATTAGTGTGGCAAACAGCAAATGGCAAAAATGAAAATCAACCTAGACAAAACTGAAATTTTTGTGGTTTCAAAGAAGGCTGAAGAAAATAATGTCAAAATAAATTAAAGACAGATTAAGCAAGCAGAAAATTTTAAATATTTGGACTCGATTGTAAATGCTGAGGGAAAAACGGAAACAGACATCAACAACAGAATAAATGAATGGAACTCCAGTTTACTAGACATTAAACGAGAAGCGATAGATTAAGAAACCATTTTATACGGGAACAATATAGTGTTGTATCGGTCTTATACAAAGTCAAACAAAGACAACTTGCATCGTTTTTTTCTCTTTTAAATTTAATATTTACAAAAGACAGCTCGCTTTATTATTTTTGATTTTCATTTTTTTTTTAAAAAAGGTAACTTTGCGGTAACATTGTAGTTTTTTGTATACTCTAGTGTAAATGATGATAGTTTTTTGTATTTTGCGACTATTGAGGTAATATTTTTGTATTGTCTTTTTTGAGTATTCTTGTATTCTCTATAAGAGACACAATAAATGTTAAATTTTGTTTCTTAACATTTTGTTTATTTTTTTAACAAACCTTTTTTTGAGTTTCGTTTGGTCATATAGGCTAAATGGTCGATAATAAAAAAGTGAAGCAAGTATTGCAGGCAGTAGTGGACAAAAAATAAAGAGGAGGTAGATCAGCAAGGAAATTGAAAAGGCACTGAAGAGGCGAGGAAACAGTTAGAGAGAAACGGAGTGAATGGCCAAGAACCGCAGCATTTGAACAGGCTTCTACTGTAAAACCTGCCACTTTTCATTTATATTCTTACATCATTTCTATCGTCTCCAGTTTGGTCTATTGGTCTTTTATTTCTGTATAATTTTTGTGAAATAAAACATTGTTCCTAAAGTACATTCTATTTAATATCTATATTTATTTTAACATTTATAAAATTGTAATATTTACGAACAAAACGATTACATGGATGATTTTCTAAAGCTAGTATGTAACTTCTTTAATCCAAATTTCCACCCGTTTCCGTCAAGATGGAAATTACTTCTATTAATTTTAATAGGAATTTTCGATGATTCCACTGGAACTAATTCAAATACACGCAGCAAATAAAAGAAGAGTACTTTAGCCTCCACCACAGCATATCTGGAACCTACACAGTTTCTTGGTCCTACACCAAAAGGAAAGTATGTATACGGTTTAATGGTTGATTTGTTTTTGTCGTCAAATCTATCTGGATCGAACAAGTCTGGATCTGGATAATACTCAGGATTCCGATGAAGGCCAAAGGTAGGTATGCAGACGAGGGTGCCCTCTGGTAATATTACGTCTTTTTCGTGTGGTAGTTTGGCTTTAAGAGGGTAGGCCTTGGTACAAATCCTTTCAACGGCCAAACCGCTGGGCCATTTTCGTAAGGTTTCTAAAAAATAATATTGATATTTGTATATTAATTTTAGCGAACCTAATTAGCTAGTTTAATAGTTGTTTATTTAATAAAACGTAAATAATGGCAAATCAGGTGATCGTATCAACCTGCAAACGAGATAGACGTGTGTAAATCCACTCTGATATTTAGCTCAAAACTTCGGGTAATATTTAGTTGTTTTACAAACAATTTACAAACAAGTTCAGTTTTTAGGGATGTTACCTGTTGTCAAGTTCACTGAGATCTGACAACAGGTAACATCCCATCTAGAATAAGGTAGATTTATTGTCTAAATTAATTATTAGAATAAAAACTGCCATGGCTACGAAGAAAAATCTAACGCTATATGAAAGTGAGGAATCATCCACTGAAGATGATAAAAGAAAAAGGTGGACAAATGAGGACCATGACCATGCTCTTCCCTACCTCAAACCTTGTTGTTATTCTGCTAGTGTTATAATTACATTTAATGATGAGACCTAAAGAGGTTGAAATACATATAAGCGGTTTGCCGCTGCCCTATATTGAAACAAATCTAATAAATCAAAATCTAATACCGTCATTATGTTTTATATTTTGACTGAATTTTGACCATGATGAACAGCTTGTGGAATGCATATTTTAGATTCTATTGCCGACCAATTCATCAATCTGTTTGCTTTGCAAGTTGTAGAAAGCACAGTGGTAAAGATTTGAATTCAGTTTCGCCAGGTAGGAATCTTATGATTTCTCTTGTTTTTATTTAATTTATTTGTTATTACATTGATTGTTAAATTTAGTGACGTGTTTAATAAATTAAGGCTCAAGTTGAATATATTTAAAACCATAGATAAATACGTCCATGTTGTCTACTTTCTCTACAATATGAAGAGACTAATTGAAAATTGTCCAAGTTTATTCTTTTTAAATTGTCAGAGTTTAATCAGTGTTCCGAAACACAAGTATATATATTTATATATATATATATATAAATAAATATATATATATACATATATATATATATATATATATATATATAATATATATATATATTAATATATAAATATATATACAGTGGCGGTGACTCAAAAATTTGGTAGTTCTGCAGTATTTTTTGGTTTTTTTTTAATTCAATATCTTTTAATCGTTGTATTTTACAACGAGGCTTTTAGTTTGATATTTTACACCATATATTTATTCATTATATATCTATTAAAAAATAATAAAGAACTTACCGATTTTCTTCTTTTCAAATTGAAGATAAATCCAATTATATCAAAAATAGCAATGGTACATTATGGCACACTAGTAATTGTTTTATAGTTTATGTTTTTAGTAGAATTTTATCGATAAATACGCGAAACTAAGGAATGCAAACGAAAAAACACTACAAACAAAATCGCCACAACAATAATTGCATTATAGGGTCTTACGAACTAACTACACACAGAGCCAAATATATTATTTTTTTTTATAAATAAGCTCGATTCGTCGATTTTTTTTAAAGCAAACTTGTCTATAACTTTTTCATTAAAGTTTGGTATTTCTTTTATAAGTGTTTTTTCTACTGACAACATGGTTAATGCTACAAGTCGGTCTTCAGTCATGGAATTTCTCAAGAATGTTTTAATCCGTTTTAAACTCGAAAAGCACCTTTCAGCTTCTGCCGTACTCATGGGCACTGTAATTAGAATTTGAAGCAGTTTTACAGTTTCTTGAAAAGGCTCTGTTAAATTATTTTCAATTAAAAATTTTAAAAAAGGTATTGCCCCATTAATGTCTCTACAGTCTCTTCTAAAATAAATAACAGATAATTCAGTCTTCAAGCGCTCCCTATCTAAATTTGGATATGACGCGCAAGTCAGGCTTAAATTATCATCTGGGAAATTATCACAATAATTATCAAATTGCTCAGGATAAAGCAATGAAGTTGCAAGTAGGTGATTTTTAAAAGCAAATCTATCATTTGCACAATTTATGATTATATCACAAACTTCGATAGATGCTCTCCGATGATCTACTGGACTGTTATCCTTCCGTAACCTTTTAGTTGGTAATGGTTCAACGCATAAACTAGAACCTTGGTCAATGGTATCATCTATTGAATTTCTAACTGAATTCATGTATCTTTCGAAATCTGTCACCTTTTTATTGATTTCCAAAGGATCCGTTTTAGTCTTTTGAAGGGCATTATACAAAACGTCTACTTGTGGCATTATGCGATGGAAAAATGTTAACCAAAAAACAAAATTTTGATCCACTAGTATTCTTCGAATGGAAGACGCTGAACTACAGACAGCTGCCTTATCAAACGATTCTTCTATTTCTTCCATACATTCGATAAAAGAAGATCGATGTTCAAACACAACATTAACAGTTCGAATATTGAAGTTCCAGCGAGTTGGAGCGCCATGAGGAATTTTCTTTTGGACGATTTTATCTAAAACTGCCACTCGTTGTGGCGAATTTTTAAAAAAGGTAGGGATTTCATTTAAATTTCCAAAAAAAAGTCTAACTTGAGAGTTTTCGGAACAAGCCTTAGACATTATTAAATTTAATTGATGCGCGTAACAGTGTACAAAATGAGCAAATGGATATTTTTCTTTGATTCTGGCTTGAACTCCTGCGTGCTGTCCACACATGACCGCTGCCCCATCATAACTCTGAGCAATTAGTTTATTATTTGAGTTTTCCAGGATAGGATCCAAAACACTGAAAATGTTTTTGCTTAAAGTATCTGCATTTAATTTTGAAGGTACCAAATATGTCCAAAATCGTTCTACCGGTGCTCCATTTCGACAATATCTAAATACTACAACCATTTGTGATTTTGCTGAAATGTCTGTAGTCTCGTCGGCCATGACAGCTAGATATGGAGATTCCCGAATTTCCTCCAAAATTTTATCCTGGCATAATTCCAACATGCAGTCCAAAATATCATTTTGAATTTCTTTAGAAATGCCCTTAAAAACCGTCGATTCTTCCAAGTGTTGTGCTAAAGTTCTATCCAATTCAGCAGTAAAATTTATGAGGCCGCGAAAAATTCCAGGATTATTATTATTATTATTATTATTATAATATAAGCGAGGGCAGAGGAACTAAGTCCCTATTATGCCCAAAAACAAAGAAATTTCATTAATCACCTACTAGTAAATAACAAAAATTACAACTAAAAGAAATAAAATTACAATTTTTGGTTTAAGAGAAAAACAATATTTTAACTATAATATAAAACTGTCGAGTCTGTTTTTGAACGAGTTGGTAGAGGAAGCGGAGACAATGTTGTCGTTGAGGTTATTCCAGCACTCAAAAACTCTATTTGGAAGAAAGTTCTGTCTTTGTCTTATAGAAAAATTTTCTTTCTTTAGTTTATATTGATGACCTCTGAGGGGTTCATCTTGTTTCTGATAAATATTTCATCGAGGTTGAAATACCCTTAAGGGTATTGAAAGGATTGTCGGATGTTTGTGTCTCGTCGTGTCCCCGAAGCGCCAATTCGAAAAACACTACAAAATTTTATGCAGTCTATGATTTTTGAGAGAACATACCTATTTTTTTGTTACAGCTTCATGAATTTTTGAATATTTATCCAGTATGCAGAATCGAACTGTTCTTTAATATTCATGGAGCCTAATAAAGCATATTCCATTTGATTGTGCAAATGATGCTTAGAAGTTTCGTGCTTTTTTATTTTATCACTTAAATGTACTAAGTCTGTTACACCAACTTGCGTCCATGACTTATCACCTCCAAAGAGTACACAAGGAAAACAGAAAAGAGCGTTTTTTCTGTTGCAGCCACATATCCAACTATTTCTCGTATAAATATCGCAATTAAATTGTCGTTTGTAATTTTTCCCTCGGCTTGATCCTTCTTTTTCGATTTTAATATCCGGCAAAGGACGTCCTTTGCATTTTAATTCTAGTTTTTCGTCATAAGAATATTTAAAGAATCTCTTAACATTAATCAAATTATAAATAACATCCATCCTGAACAGCACTTTTATTCTCATATACTTAATATAAATACCGAATTACGTGCAGGACAACTTATTTTAACAGTCGTCGCGTCGCGATCACCGATTATTTAAAATTACAATAAACGTAGTTTGTACACACTAGTTCGAACTGCGACAAATGCAGCTCAAATATTGCTTTCAGTCGTCGCCTGAAAAGTGTAGGCGAGGGTTGAGCGGGTGTTATCGGGGATATCTTTAACAGTTCACAGCTCGGAGTAGCACCGGTCCGGTCAAATAAGTGGGACTTGCTGTCGCCATGAGATGCGACGGACGACAGATTAAAATAAAGGCGGCCATGCACGAAAACCATCTAAATGAATTTAGATTTTATAAGTAGTGATATTTTTTATTTAATTTTCAAAGTAATTTTGTTTGGATTATTTTGGTAGTTCTGCAGCTCCGCAGCACTTATATACCAACCGCCATATATATATATATAATTTTCTTTTACTTATTTTGCTGCCTGTATTCTTTGTTTCTGATTTACAGGAATCTCTGGGTTGTAGTTTAGAGTTTATATTTTTTAAATTGCTTGACAAATGTCTGGTACTCTAGATTGCTGAAAATAATTCCATGAAAAATGTATAGTCTATAAAACTAATAAAAAACTTCATATAAAGAATAAATAAGTGAAGAGAAAAGAAATCCACGATAAGCATTTTTTATGAAATAACAAATACCTACCAGACATCACGTTGTCCATATATTTCATTTTCAATAAATCTTCGTAAGTGACAGATCCATCACAGGCATCAAAGGTATCGTTAATCTCATCTCTTAGCTTGTCTTGTATTTTAGGGTTTACCACTAGTTCGTAAGCCATAAACCTCATTAGAGTGGATACCGTATCGAAGCCTCCAAAGAAGAAAATCAAAGATTGGGCTAAAATATCGGTGTTAGTAATATCTGTCTTAGATTTTACTTGGGTACCTAAAATATCAAATAGTGTATTTTTACATTTTTATAATTATTTTAAATATGTTAATTTTTTAAGATTAACAAAAACAATATACATACCAGCATATGAATCCAAAGCGGTGGCATAACCAGTATCTATAACATGTTCTTCTGCAGGTTGTTGTACTCCTTTTTTAGCCTCCATTATAATATGTATCATATCTGGGCGCACAATTCCATTCTTTTCCCGCGCTTCCATGGTACTTTCCAACAGTTGTATAAAAAAATTTCGCACTCTGCTGCTGTATACTTTTATGTCGAAAAACTAGAAAACAATAAAACCTACGGTGAAAATAATAATTCTATCTGATCAGTAATAGTCTATGAATACTTTGAGATATTTAAAAAGTATTTGTATACGTTTTCAAGAAAGTTATTAAAAAAAACTTTTAATATCGTATTAAAATTACATCAAACCATAAGTTTTTTAAATCTATTCGATTTAAGTCTAAATACTAACAGGGTAAGAGGTTCCTTTCAATTTTCAATTTTCTTCTTCTTCTTTTCCTCTTTCTCTATATAAGTAAATCTGCTTGTTCGTTGGCGGATTAATACCTCTATGGATAGTTATCATTCCATCTTTTGCGCGGTTGTCGATATTTCTTCTTCCGATTGCTGAATTATCTCTTGCTGTTAGAAGATTGGATTGTCTTCTACGCTGGACAGCGTAATTCCAAGTATTTTATTTCTATTACTTGTTTAATACTGATACCATCGATTTCTATTTTACACCTTATTGGTTCTTGGCTGATTACTGTTGCTTAAGTTTTCTGAGTTGAGATTATCATCATTAAATTCTTCTGCCCTCATGTTAAATCTGTGGACTATTTTTGGTAGATTATTTTCATCTTTCTTTCTTTTCTATCAATATTGTATCGTTTGCATAACATAGTATTTTTACTTCTTTGTTTTCCATTCTGTATTAACTTCCTGTGTTAACATTTTTGATGATTTCATCCATGGTCAAATTGAAGAGCATAGGGCTCAATGAATTCTCTCGTCTTATTCCGCTGTCTATGTTTATAGGTTCTGTAAGTTTTCCATCTATTCTAACTTCCATTTTGTTGTTATGGCAGACGTTTTCAATAGTTTTTTTGGTATCCAGGGAAACATGCCCATTATGCAGAAGATAGAGAAAACGATAATATAAATGACGAAATGATGATAAAATTGCTTGAAAAGTGAGAACTAAATTCCAAAGAAGATTATGATTATCGCCTTAACAGGAATATTATATTAGGAATAGTAATTATCTTTCAAAATATGTGTTGTTTTTTTGTAAATTGTCGTAAAGAAAAGACTATAGCGCCAATACTGTTATCTATTGTTAGGGTTCGCTGATACTATTTAACAGAAAACCAGTAGAACTATCGAAGATAGTAACTTCAATGACGATCAAAGACAAAGATAAGAAGTTGCTCAACGCAATAAAAATCAAAGAAATGCTGGACCAAGTGATATCCGTAAGAAGTACATCCGTAACAAATTAAGCTGTATTAAATCCTGCTTCTTACAATAAATCTAGTATCAAATTCGTAACGAGTAGGATGTCTACTGTAATATACATTATATTATAGTGCTTTTTTTCAAGAATTTCTCAGTCAATCCAACTCATCTCCTGTAAAACGATGATGTCTGCTGTGGCTTTATGCTTATGAATGTATCCCACCAGTTGTGCATTGTTAATCTCACTCAAATTTCAAACCATTGTCTTTGTTTCGTTTACGAGTTCGTCAAAGGTTAGGCAGTCCGGCTTTTTTTATTGTAGCTTTTACAACGTGGATGCTTACAGGGTAAGATAGTTCGCCTAATGCCAAACTACTCTTCTGGAGAACCATTTTACCTGCTCCTTAAAACGCAATACTTCGGGAGTATTGGATTTTAGGAAGCGTAGAACCTAAAAATTTCAGAAGAATTGGAAGAGAGTTGATGGAAAATACTAAAAGATATGGCTAAGCTCAGAGGAACAAATTTAAATGGCCAAAGAGACACTAAATCTCAAGTGAGTATTCGGGCTAGCTTCAATGCACTGAATAGTGGCTTTAGAGATATAAAGCAGATAGCAAGGATAATAAACTGATGGGAACAAGAAACGAAATGAGACCTGTTAATATCAAACGTGACACAACTAAAGAAGGTCACTGGAAATAAATATATATAAAGAGGACTATAAGTAGAGAACAAGAAGGGCGCCAACTCAACAATAGTTGAGATTTTAAAGTAACAAATGACCGGAAATAAATGATACTGGAGATAATCACCTGAAATACAAAATACTAAATTATAATCTTGTCTTGTTCTATATATACTGATTAGTAGAAACTGAAATAAAACTCAAAATACTAGTGATAAATATATTGATAACAATATGTATATAGATATATATGTATGAACAATTAATATATAATGCAAAAACTGAATAACAGTGGTAGTGAGTGGTCTAAATGTAAATAAGACCTAATAGCCCTCAACAAGCAAATAGCCACTACCAATGGGCCAAATAAAAGTATTAAATATTAGTATAATCAAAGAATAGTCCCTAGGATAGTCTTAACACTAAAAGTTCTCTGAGTTATATATTGTTTTATTCTTGCCCTAGATTCTTTTTTTTCCTCTAACTCCGTCACTTTGAACGTGAGAAAAACTCACCGACGTGTCTGCTAGTACGAGTTCTGATCCCTGACCGTAACATTCGATTTTTTTTTAATTCCAAAGCGATCCTCGGGCGTGAGCAGAAAAAAGTCGTTTTGAAATCGATCGCGGGCGTGTCACAAGAAATTTCTTGAGGGATTTTATTAATACAATTTTTAAATTGGATTAATATCATCAGTAGCATAAACGCTACATCCTATCAGATCCGACCCAACTTTCCACCCAGGTTGGTTATTGGATCTCCAGTTGGGTATAACAGAGGACACCATCGTAAAACAGGTTAAGTAGAGTAAACTAAAACCAACTTCATATTTTCGCATTGTACTCCTTTACCCCCCAAATAATCTAATTAATACGATATAAAAATTATGTGATGGGTTATTGTGGACAATATATAAAGAAAATTACTTACTTTAATTATAGACTCCGGCAAAGCAAAATGAAATAAATATATGAAGGATCGAATTCCACTGGAATTAGTAGCCTCCACGCCCATTTGATAAAAAGTATTATTTGGTCTCCTTAATGTATTAGCTCGAACACCGAAAACCGTCGTAGCAATCACATCGCAGGTAAAATGCCGAAGAGCAGGCTTAAGGTCTATTTCTATTATCTCATCTTCTTTTTCTTCAAAAAAGGTGACGAAATTCTCGGCGCAATCTTTCATGAGGTTGAACATAAATTTCATTTTACTGCTGGTGAACATGACCCGGAAAAATAACCTCATCTCTTTCCATTTGTCGCCTATAAAAGAATAATACGTTACATTTTTTAATCGGTAGCAATTGCTAACACAATAATAAAACAAAAACATGCAAACTGTTTGTTACATATAAAAGAACTGTTAAGTGAATAGACGATTAAGGAAAACGTACCAAACAAGCATCCTAATTATAAACCAAAGTCGCGCTGGTCTATAGTACCTACTGAATTTTTTTTTATAAAAGCCGAAACTACTAAACGGCCCTCAGTTTCTGGCGGCTCCACAACTTCCAACTAAGCTAACAGTTAAATAGAATTAAAAGTGAAACTGAAACAAACCATTGAAGTGGAGATATCCAGGAGTGGCTAGTATACCTGTTGAATAACAAGCACGTGGTGATCGTGTGTATTAAGGTATAAAAAAAATTGCTAATTAAAAGCTTAAATTTTTTCATCATCAGTTATCAGTTACCCCTAGACTCCAGCACAAATCAGAGGTAATGTAAGTCAATAAAACCTCACTCACACTACAGGGGGTCATGTAAGATGCCCCCATTTTCAGTTTTTAGTAATCTATAAATTAACAGTCTATTGCATTTACGTTCATAAACACTATGAGGATTGTTTTTTAATACGGAGTTCCTTCCTAATGTTTACATGTGGCCATAACAAATTTTTTGGGACCTTTTTATGTAAGTAGTAAAAACCAACGTGTTATTTTTACATATTTAAATTTTAACTTACTTGTTTTTTAATATTGGTATTTTTACTCACCTTTTAGTAAACTGATGATGGAATGACTCAATTCCAAAAAGATCTTCTTTATAAATAAAATAAAAAAAAATTAAGCTTTTAATAAGCATTTTTTTTATTTTTTTTATATCCTTAATACACACGACCACCACGTGGTTAGAATAAAGTTAAAGCAGAGGGTGTTAAGAATCCCTGAAAAAAATCAGGCTACTGGAAAGACCGACAAATACATATTACTTCATACAATGTTAGAACTCTTATATCTGACCAGAAGATGATAGAGCTTGGAATAAAAGTTTAAAAAATAATAAAATAGGACATCATTGATCTCAGCGAAAATAAGACAAAGAAATAAGAGCTCAAATTCCTCTTAAATCAGGACACCTATTTCATTTTAAAAGAAGTAACTTTAGAGTTGTGGAGTAGCAATCATTATACACAGAAAGCACACACAAAATATAGTTTAAAATTACCAGCATAAGCCCGAGGATTATATACCTTATCTTCAAACTAAATGTAGTATTACTAAATACAAACTAAATGATATAACCTTAAGGTAATTCAAACATATTTTCCAGGAAATTTATCCATGAAACTCATTTTTCAATAAAACAGCCTCAGCGTAATGGACAAGAATAAAACCTACATGGCATTGTCATAAAATATATAAGCAAACAAGTGAATCACAACAAAGGCTCTAAAAGAAACAGAAACGGAGTGCTGCCCAACTGACCAGGCCCATAAATAAAAACAATACAAGGAAATGAATAACTCAAATAATTCAAGAAAACAAAAGTTTTGAGAGGAAATACGAACAACATTCTCTTCTCTCTGGTTTCTGGCTTCTCTTTCTGAAAATCATATTGGCAATCATAACCTTGCTCGCTGCGGCTCGAAACAGCTCCGTTGAGGTTTTCTTAAACCATGTTCTTAAATTCCGCAGCCATGATATTCTCCTTCTACCGGGTCCTCGCTTACCTTTGACTTTACCTTGCAATATAGACTGCAGCAGGGAGTAACGGTGCTGATTTCTCATAACGTGTCCCAGATATTGCAATTTTATGCGTTTGATCGTAAACACAATCTCTGGTTCCTTCTTCATTTTTCCTAGAACTTCCTTGTTCGTGATCCTTGCTGTCCATGATATTCTCAGCATTCTTCTATAAAGCCACATCTCAAATGCTTCAAGTTTTTTAATAGTGGTGTCTGTAAGCGTCCATGCCTCCGCCCGTACAACAACACAGAGAAAACATAGCATCTCAAATGTCTCATTTTTGTATCTAGGATATGTTGTGACTTTTGAAGATGGCGCTTATTTTGTTAAAGACCGTTCTTGCCTTTCCTATGCGGCACTTTATTTCCTGTACATTGCTCCACTGTTCGTTATAATAGTTCCCAGGTAGCAATACTGTTTTACTCGCTCTATCTGCGTCACATTAATGTATAGATGAGCCGCGTTTATATTCTCCTTGCTGATAACCATTTGTTTCGTTTTGTGGGTATTAATGTTTAGTCCGTACTGTTGACTGTACTCGTTTATTCTGTCCATTAGCCTCTGAAGTCCCTCTTAAAATCTCCTCTACTTCATATGGAGTTTTCAGTCTAGTGTCCCATATCTCAACCACGTTGTTTCACTAACATGACACTCTAATTTTAGAAATAGAATGTTAGATGTACTTCGAGAAGACATTCGGTCCTACACACAATTAGTTAAAATTGTGCATTGTCTTTGTACCAGTCTTAGTGAATTTTAACATTACATGTTTTTTCTGTTTTTCTTTTGTGAGAAAAAAACTTATACAATTTTTTTCACAAAATTTTATAAATTTGACCAGCTTTTACGGCACCATTCTCAAAATCGTAAGTAAGATCAACGTATTTATAACAGATTGTCAATTTTCATGTAAACTAATTGTAGCTTATCCCTGATGATGTTGATAACTATCAACGAAATATTGGATCAATAAAGGACTAAGAGTACATTTTTCGTTTATTTTTTATAATTTTTTTTCGATATACTTATTGCCTTCTATTTTTTTATATTATAGCTGTTTTCTTGTGACATACTGATATAATTTACTAGTTTTATTGGGAATAAGCCACACTTTTATTTTAAGCGTTTGTTCTACGAACAATATGATTATCATCCGCTAAGCACGGATTTGCGTGATATATTATTAGAGGAATATTGTAGAAAAATCCAGAGAATTCAACATCACAACATATTTGTGCTTCATAGATTATAGTAAAGCTTTCGATTTGGTCAACTGGAGTAAAATGTGGCAGGTTTTGTCTGAAATGGGAGTCCCTAATCATCTGATACTGCTAATTAAAAGCCTGTACAATAACAATTATGCCAGAGTTAGAATAAATGGGGAACTAACTGACAGTTTCAGGGTCACAAAGGGCGTGAGACAAGGCTGCATACTAAGCCCAATTTATTTAACATCTATGGTGAATGGATAATGCGGAAAGCTACTGAGGACTGGAACGGTGGCATCACCATTGGCGGGAAGAAGATTTGCAACTTGAGATATGCAGATGATACTACTATCCTCGCTAGTTCTGAAACTGAATTGATTCACCTGCTACAACGGATAGAAGACGTAAGCTTAACGATGGGCCTTAAAATAAACAGGGATAAAACGAGAATCATGATAATTGACAGAGCTAACAACAATCAAAATCATCTGGTTATGATAAACAATATCGCTGTTGTAGATAAATTTGTGTATCTGGGCTCATTAATAACCAACAAAGGAGGCTGTACTGAAGAAATAAAGCGGCGGTCAGCAATCGCAAAAAGCGCTATGGCAAAATTAACAAAAATTTGGAAAAGCCATGAAATAACTACCGATACAAAAATGAGACTAGTAAGAAGTCTAGTTTTTCCAGTTTTTACTTATGCATCGGAATGCTGGACCCTTACTGAGAAAGACAAAAAGAACATAGATGTATTTGAGATGTACTGCTGGAGACGAATGCTGAGAATACCATGGGTGGCCCGAAGAACAAATGAATCCATACTGGTCCAGCTAAACATAAAGAAAAGACTAAGAACACAAATAACAGAACAGATAATAAGCTATTTTGGACATGTGCTTCGAAGAAATGGTCTTGAAAAACTTACCATCCAGGGAAAAGTAGAAGGCAAAAGAAGTAGAGGTAGATCTCCTACACGATACACGGACCATATTGTTGCTACCATTGGCGCTCCATTGTCAGAATGTGCTAGATTGGCAGAAGATAGAAAAACGTGGAGGAACATTGGAAAAATTACCTAACAGCTATCATGATTAATTACTATTAAACTGGAATAAGCCACAATTAAAGATAAAAATACGTTTATTGACGTTTCAATTTCAGAACAATATTAAGCTTCATGATATACACGAATACCTGCATCAGGTTAACGACTAAGAAGAAGAATAATATATATATATATAAAATATATATATATATATATATATATATTATATATAATATACATATATAATATATATATATATATAATCTGTTTTTGTTCTCCCAAGTTAATAAACAGATAATATTTCGGGGTAGTCGGAGACACAAGGAGAGACTATTAAAATTATTGTCAAAATATGTTGATGTTCTTTAAGTACAACCTTCAAAAACCTCATAGAGTTGACCGAAGTAGCTGAATATAACACACCAATAAACCTCGATTTTTAATGCAATTAATATATTTTTGTACAATAGTGGCAACATAATGGCTATTAATTACATATTATTTAAAATCTAATAATTGCTGTTTTTTGTTTATTATATTATAAGATTATAGATAAACGATAAAGCTTTTTTTTAAAGTGGCAGAAACACCAGAATAGTAAAATTAAAATTGAACCGAATCTGTGCGAAATTTTTAATTACACGTTTAAAAGACAAATTGAACATTAAGTATAATATTATTAAGTATATATAATTAGCATATAGTGATAATTTGATTGTTTTGCATATGTTAACAACATATTATTTCCGCCAAATAATATTGTTAGCATATTTAATAGGTTAATTTCCGAATAAAAAAAATTAAATACTTTTTTGTATTTTTCATCATTAAAAACACTTCTGTATTCATTACACATCTGTAATGTTTTTTATATTTACACTTTCGTATACTTCTGACAAGAGGCAAATCTTTTTTACATTTTAGACATTTATTTTAAAGCAATTTAATCACTATTAAAAAAAAAACGGTAAAATATTGAAATAATAAATTGAAACCACTTGTTTTAAAGTCAATAATAATAATAATAAAAATTCCAATGTAAAACGAATAATGTCTAATTTTTTTTATTTATTTTTGTTTTTTTAGTAGTCAGTGTGACCACCTCTACCCCTTAGGCAAGCTTCAATTTGCGTGGCATGCTCCTAAATAAACTGTCAATATTTTGTTGTGACAAGTTGTGACAAGAGCAGCTTGTACTAGCTGTGCATTTGTGAATTCTCCCGGCGAGCTCTAAGTCTTCTTTTAAGCGTATCCGACAACTGCTCTATGAAGTTAAAGTCGGGTGAGCAAGCAGGCCACTCCAGAACAGTGATATATTCTGCTTTAATAAAGTATGTAGTCACTTTGCTGGTCTGTGGAGCCGCATTATTATACATGAAAATGAAATTTTCTTCTATTGCTCCTCTCCAAAGCCTAACTACAGGTTCTGGAACCAAATCAACATACCTACAAGCTGTTAAACTTGGCTGGATGGAAAATATAGTAGTTTTATTACTGATCATAATGCCTTCTCAGAACATGACACTTTCTCCTTTATATCTGTGAACACATCTGGCAATTTTCATTTTCGCTTGTCTTTCTCGCCCTCTAAGTTCGCGAATTCGTCGGCCATCTGATTTTTCACAAATCCTGGTTTCGTCTGAAAATAGCACATTTTTTCAATTTCCAATGTTTTAGTGTTACAGACACCAATTTAGGCTATTACTATTGAGCTGCCTGGGCAACCCAGGAACCTGTTACTGTGTACTGCTGTATAGTTCATGGGTACAAAGTGTTTTTCTTAACTGAAACAATTACACCTGTAACTTCCAAGAGTTTCCTTTCAAGCTGTGGGTGAGCTCTGTGAGGTTAACTTTTGGGGCCCTTCTAGCTACTTGGACAATGAAACGATCGTAGCAAGCCGTTGTTACTTTCTGGCGACTTTTTCTTAATCTATTCTTAAGCGTTACTAATTCTTGATACATACCATACGTTTTTGACACAACGCTCTGTGCTAAGCCTATCACTGCCGTTATGTCCCTCAGAGGCAGTCCTTGCTTCACAGGACTAATAATATTTCTCCTTTCTCCTTTGCACATTCGTTAACTCCACATAGCATAACACGCAAAAGTTTATTTATTTTCGTACAATTTACAACTAAAGCAAATAATCTCTAGGTACCGAGTTGTGTTATCGAATTGTTTTATCGGTTGTTAATTTTCAATAAAAACCTTATTCTTCGCAACAAAGTTTTTCAATAAATAATATTGGTTTAAAATACATGGTGATTCCATATAAGTTTGGTTGTGTGTAAGTATAAGTGTCAAGTTACTTATATCGTTTTTCTTTTCTTTAGTCTCAATATCACTAGTCTAATTAGTACCCTACATTCATTCCTAGTTCTCGGTTTTACTTTTTAGTTTTAAGATTAAGTACATACATCTTATTTTTGGTCATCCCTTACATTGATTTTTTACTTTGTTGTGTTGCTCGGTTATAGCAACATGTGTTGTGTAGTTCGTAGATATTTATGTTCCCCACACCCATGCATCTTAGTTTTCCAAGCTTAGTCAGTACGTTAGTTACAGGTAGTAAGTTATAGGTCCGATTTGCTAGGTAGGGTCTGCACTTAATTTCCATATCTGTATTGTTATCTTTATCTACTCGAATCCTGTGTGTGTAAATTCTTAGACGTTTTCTACATGTTTACCAATACTAGATAACCAGGAAACTAATGATTTTTAATGACACTCCTTGATGAAGGTATCTAACAACCATTTTTAAAAAATAGTTTTGATAACAATATGTAATAAACAAAATATGCAAAAGATTTAACGTCATTTTTCACTTATAAACAATATAATACACAATGCAAGATCGCTATTTGATTTTAAACTCTAAATGTGAAGACTGGTATAAGTCTAACGCATAGAAAATCCTTTAAAATGAGGGTTTGTAAAGTTGTTTTTGTTAATTTGTTGCATAGTTATGACAAAAATAGCTTCAAAAGTCGACATTTTAAAAATTGTTAGTAACTTTTTTTAAAATACACAATAATGTTTATGTTAATTAAAATGTAAAATTTAAAACCGCATTGACACAATTATAATAACCTAGAATAAATTGACATAGAACATAAACCTAGACACAAGTGATTATAAGTGATTAGTACTAGTTACACCAAGTAACTATTGATGCTATTTTCCCATTTAATCATACTGAACAAAAACCTGAGATAGAACATCGGTTGGATTAAAGTAAGTACCATTTTTACCCTGTAACCCAAATGCATGTATAGAACGATGAGAGTTCTAGTTGTTACGAATAATACAGTAGCTTTGGAGCTTGACAGTTATATAAAATTTAAAAATTAATATATTGTGATTAAGTTTATACTAATTGAGAAATATATTTTATTCTTTTACGTACCTTTTAATGAAAACAGGTTATTGCCCCATAATGGGTCCACATTTTCCGGTAACCAAGAACTATGATCTGTAAAGTGCTCAAAATCCCGAACTGTTATATCCTTTATAAGATCCGGATCTTTAACAATCAATATTGGATAGTTAAATAAATATGTGCCATAGTATCTAAAAAAAATACAATAATGAGAAAAAAATACAGAAGTGTTAAATGGACCGTCAAGAATTTTTATAAAAAACACGTGATGTTTTTGAATAAGCCTAATAAAATAATTACACGATCAGAAATGAGTTCTGGCAGTGAATATGTTACAAAACTAATAGAGAATTGGAGTACTATTATTACACAGAATAAATATGATTAAAAGAAAAAAACAAGATATACCTTTTGTATCTGATCTGGCAAGAACCAAAGCATATGAAAAATAATACCCCAACAGTAATAAATTCAGATCACATTAGTGCTAAACAGTTGTTCTAGTAAAAATATTTTGCTAGAAAGAAAAACTGACTTACACCAAAAAAAATCAACATAAGAATAAAGATGATATGCATAATTAAATTATTTTATAACTCATTATGACTATTTCCGTCACCACAAAACTTACCCCACCTCGTGCGCTTGTGTCGCACGAAAAATGACCAATCGACAGAGGTTAAAATTAAAAATTTATTGAGAGCACCTTATCAATATTCTCCTAAGATAAATTTCTTGAAAAACTGCTCTATTAGAAGTGGATTTTAGTATCAAAAAGGCTGAATGTGTTCTGCGCTTGCTGCATTCCAATCCTATAATTCTGTGACTACTTACGGCATTAGGAAGGATGTAGTCCAATGTTGTGTGTCTAAAATATCCAATTTTTTAAAACTTTCAAAAGAGTGTAAGGCGCATCCATTATAATATCCTTTGACTTTTATAACTAGCCACGTCATTGCAGAGATTTTACTCATTCTCCATGCTTTTTTAGATCGACACAACATTAGTAGCTTATAAGATTGTAAATAATATATATATATATATATAAATATATATATATAATATATAATATATATATATATATATATATATATATATATATATATATAACGAGTTTATTACAGTTGCTGAGTTTCTCGCAACCTAGCTTCCAACGCTTGCGATCGTTCCAGTCATCTACTTGTAGACCCCTATCTACCATTGCACCATTTACTTCTTGTCTCCACGATCTTCTTGGTCTTCCCTTTTTCCTGCGGTTGGTGGGATCCACTGTAACATTCTCTTTGGCCATCGTTGATCATTCATCCTTTCTACATGGCCATACCATTTCAGCCTTTTTGCATTCTATAGTTTCCAGGATGTCAATGTCTATGCCCATACGCTCTCTGATTTCAGTATTCCTTACTCTATCTCTTCTAGTGAGTTGGCAACATCTTCTCCAATAATTAATTTCCATTGCTTTTATTTTGGATGTGTCATTTTATTTATTACCCAAAGCTCTGAACCATATGTACCAATGCTTTCTATGATACTTTTGTATATCCTAATTTTTGTGTTTCGGGTGATGTGGTTATTCCAAAGTATACTATTCAGTTGACGTATTGCTGAATTTCCTTGACCAATTCTAGTAGCTATTTCTTTTGTATCCCGACCATTGTTTGTAATGTTTACACCGAGATATTTATAGCTATCAGTATTTTGAATTTGTTTGTTTCATAGTTCTAAGTGCTTTCCTTCACCTCCCACTACTACGTACTCTGTTTTTGATGGATTAATTGATAAGCCCCACTTAGTATATTCTTCATCTATTTTTCGTAACATGTAGTGGATATCATCTTGATCTTCTGCAAGTAAAACTTGGTCATCAGCAAAATGCAAGCTGTACAGTGTATGGTCTCCAATTTTAACACCCATAGGTTCACATTTTCTTTTCCAAATATCCAAGACCCCCTTCAAATAAATCTTAAAGAGTGTAGGTGCAATGCAGCAGCCTTGGCGAAGTCCTTTGGTCACTTTTATCTTTTTTGTCACTTTTGTCCAATCTTTATTACACTCGTCATATCATCGTACAACTCCCTTACAGCATTAATGTAAATCGGTGGAATATTCTTGTCTTCTAGCACCTGCCATAGCTTGGCTAATGGGACACTGTCATACGCTTTTTGAAGATCAATAAATACCAAGTGTGTCTCCATATTATGTTCCAAACGCTTTTCTATTGTTTGTTTTAGGCAGAACACATTGTCTATACAAGAACGACCAACACGAAAGCCACTCTGATCTTCAGCGTCTTCCCAACAATCTTCAATTCGGCTTTTAGTTATCTTCCCGTAGAATCTACAGATTGAGTTAGTTACACTACTGGGTGGAAATTAGTATTTCCACCACCAGAGAAAAAACCCAGTACCTTCTGCTCGATTACATATACAGGCAAAATAACAACAAAAATAGCCAAACACATAAAAAAGAAAGGAATCACACCAGCTTTTCGAACAAATAACAACCTAGGCAAATATATTAAAAATAACAAGAGCCAAATAAAAAACACTTAAATAGTGGTGTGTACAAACTTCAATGTGGCGACTGCCCAAAAACTTACATCGGTCAAACTGGTAGAAACTTTAATAAACGAATAGCAGAACATAAAAGGGCTTTCAATAATAGAAAAACAGATTCGACATACGCACTTCACCTTCTAGATCATAATCATTCTTTTAATGATGAATTTAAAATTCTTCACATTCAAAATAAAGGCCTTAAGCTATCTTTGTTAGAATCTATGGAAATCAACAAATTAAAAAACACAGATATAATTCTGAATGACCAACTTGAGACAAACAGTTCTCCCCTCCTCAACCTATTTCATTAGAGACTATAAGTTGTAAACGCAAGCCAAAAATAGATCACTTGAGAAAGGCAATCAGCCGAAACAGCTGTAGTGATAAAAGTTAAAATAAATTTTGTGGAAGTTTGAAAACAAAGTTTTCAGTGCTTTATTGTTACAAATATTATGTTGTAGAGATTTCAGCCTAAATCTTAGAAAACGAATACTTAAGTGTTATGTATTTTCTATTCTTCTGTATGGTGTAGAGACATGAACTTTAAATAAACAATGTCTTAATAAATTGAAAGTATTTGAAATGTGGACATATCGAAGAATGCTGAGAATCTCCTGTACAGACAAAATAACCAATGAAGAAGTACTAAGAACAATAGAGAACGGCAGGGAGATACTAGATTTCATCAAAATAAGAAAATTACAATATCTGGGTCATATAACACATGTTGACAGATATGAATGCCTAAAACTAATAATGCACGGAAAGATTCAAGGAAAGCGCAGCATAGGTAGAAGAATAATGTCCTAGCTGAGAAACCTCAGAGAATAGTTTAGATGCAGCTCAACTGAACTCTTTCGGACTGTAGTGTCAACAGTTAGAATAGCAGTGATGATTGCCAAGAATAGAATAGAATAGAATAGAATAGAATAGAATAGAATAGAATAGAATAGAATAGAATAGAATAGAATAGAATAGAATAGAATAGAATAGAATAGAATAGAATAGAATAGAATAGAATAGAATAGAATAGAATAGAATAGAATAGAATAGAATAGAATAGAATAGAATAGAATAGAATAGAATAGAATAGAATAGAATAGAATAGAATAGAATAGAATAGAATAGAATAGAATAGAATAGAATAGAATAGAATAGAATAGAATAGAATAGAATAGAATAGAATAGAATAGAATAGAATAGAATAGAATAGAATAGAATAGAATAGAATAGAATAGAATAGAATAGAATAGAATAGAATAGAATAGAATAGAATAGAATAGAATAGAATAGAATAGAATAGAATAGAATAGAATAGAATAGAATAGAATAGAATAGAATAGAATAGAATAGAATAGAATAGAATAGAATAGAATAGAATAGAATAGAATAGAATAATAGAATAGAATAGAATAGAATAGAATAGAATAGAATAGAATAGAATAGAATAGAATAGAATAGAATAGAATAGAATAGAATAGAATAGAATAGAATAGAATAGAATAGAATAGAATAGAATAGAATAGAATAGAAAGATAAAGAAGAAGGATATAAATATTAAAAACTGTTATAATTACACACATAATAAACATTGGAAATATGTGTAAGTATATAAAATATAAAAACAAAAATACGAGCTTCATCGGTGCAAATATAAACTTTTCTGAATAAATAATATTTCTTAATAAGGCACAAACAATTGGGATGTTAATACAACTTCTTACCTGGCGTGTTGAAGTTTGCTACCGAGCCTCAAAACCAACTCGGAAAAGCTTTCCCTAGCCAAAACAAAGTTCAAAGCATCTCCGAATAAGTACGTTGTCTTCTCTTGGAAAATTCCCTTTTCTCTCCAATAATTGTGTGGTTTTACTAACAGAAAATAAAACAAGAGTAGGGAAATAAAAATAATTAAGCAAGTAGAGACAACTACTTCAATCATTTTGACGAGAACAAATCATCTGCTTAGGAAAGCACAGTTTAAAGGATTTTATGCAAATGCATATAATATATATTATAATATTAATTAGCAAAAGTAGGTATGTTAAATTAGGAGAACTAATAGCTACTTAAATATATACAGGGAGGCAAATTTCTCCATATATTCAATACGAGATTTTTTAATGAGTAATATGTTAATTCTTATATTTGACAATTTGTCGATCATACTTAGTGTTGCCAGGTCCGATTTGGTTTAAATCGGTACATAAGGTAAAACAAATCGGGATTTAGGGTTGTAGATCGGGACAAATAAACAACAAGGTGTTATAATCAGTATTTAATCCTACATAATAATAATCACACGAAATTACAAAACAAAATCGTAGATAAAATAAATTATTTATTTTTTGTTAAAATTATATTTTTCATTCGATTTTGCCACCTTTAGCAGTGCCTTGTTTTTTATAACATAGTTATAAAATTCACAGCAAGTCATGCTAAAATTAGTTTTAATTTGAATTTCTGCTTTGACATGTTCGAGTGTCAAACGGTTTTGCCGCTCACACCAAATTAAATTAGTATGGGAAAATACTCTTTTCGCAGCCGCGTTTGATACTGGTATTGGCCAATATCAAACTGGCCAATACCATAAACCATAAGCCATAAACGAAAATATCTTTTGAAGATTGACAAAGTCTTGGTTTTCTTTAAAAAATTGTACCATTTTTGTAGCGGTGTCAAGTCTTGGTTTTGCACTGCTGCCTTCACTAATTCTTTAATTTTACGCACTTCTTCATAAAGTTGATCCATGTCAAAGAACGTATAACTTTTTAGATTTTCAATTATGTTGACCATTGACGCATAAGTAAAGGATTCATCCTGGAGAGAAAATGGCTTAAATAAGTCCAATTTGCTGTCCTTGAATTTGTATCTTATTTCTAAGTAATGTACAACATTTTTGTACCACGCACAACAGTTTTTTTTTTATTTTAGTAAATTTATCCGTCAGGCAACTTTTTAAATAAGTTGCTGCACGTTAAAACATTTCATTGATAAACTGTCACTTCTTTCTCTCTTGGTGTTCAATTTTTTTGTTGTTCAATTTAATTTTGCTACTAGCAATGCTAACTCTTTTTGCTAAGACAAAGTCTGAATGTTTTAGCAGTTCAAGCACACTGCGATTTGAAATGGGCGTATCACTTACATTTCTACACTGCTTACGCGAGACTATCTTTACTCAGTGGCGTCGGCCAACGGGCAACAAATGCATTACTCTCCATTCAAATTAGTTTTAACACGAACTAACTGACCGTACGCTCATGAGATTTGACGTCACGAAGGCGATAACGGTGAACCTAAGCGACAATGATGAGTAACACGTTTCACTATTAGATTTTAGTATTTTTTAGCAATTTTCTTCAAAGTTTGAACACGCTTTTCTCGATTATTACTGGACACAGAAAGGTGAAAAAAAAATCAACGATTACAGAAAAAAAAACTCTTTCAAGTGATGGGCGTAAAAAGTTTGGTTATAATAGAACGTTAAACAGTATAATCCAATTTTTCAACAGAAGTAACAAAAAAATAAAAAAAGTAAAACCATCATTTTAAAAGCAACATAGTTTCGAATATTGTGTCCAAATTTCGAGACATTTTGTCGGTAAATAACAGTTCCTAGGTTTTGGTGCACCGATAAAACAAAACTTATTATTTGAAACGGGCTTGATGAACGGGTAATTTTTCATCCAAACATCAAGGAAAGAACACATTCTTCTTTGCTTCTTTTTTTCGGAGTTTATGTTGAAGCATTGGTTGTTACTTCGGTATCTGTTTCAGGATCACTCATTATAAGGAAATCTAAAAATAAAAGAAATCTGGTACCAGCAACCAATATATAATATAATGTCGTTAAACAAACCTTAATATATTGTAGTGTAATGTATACTATATTGTGTATAATGTAGACACAAACAGACGATTGATAATGACGAATTTCAAATTTCAACAAAGAACCACATCGCGAAATTCCCTGAATTCGCGGAGCGATCACATACTTGTAAAATATTTATCGATTGCTGAGTGAAACCTGAAACTATTTCTGGTACGTTTTATAAGTACTGTGGTTTACACTTTCTTGATTTGGTTTATTAAATAAGTCGTTTAGTAGTCCGTTTCATCGCACATATTTTCTGCTTTTCGGCTGCTGATATTAATACTTTGGTCACTTTATTTTACATAAAATAATTGCTATTTAATATAACAACTTTTTTTCTGGTTTTTGGAGCATGAGGTTCGAAAATACTTTCTTTTTACCGAATAGTTCTGGGAGTAACTTAATTCCCATCCCATTTTGGTAACCAATTTTAAGTTTTATTGATGTTTGCAAATGTTGATATGAAGTAATGTACAGTAATAATATTATAGGTTGACATAATGTATTTAACCTTTGTATTATCCTCTGGGTACGCCTGGACCCAGTAGTAAAATTCAAATGTTTATATATTTATTATATCGTAAATTTGAGACGTGATGTTTCATGATATCTTAAGATAAGGTTTATATACAATTTAAACGTATTTGCGTTTTGAAATATCAGTTTGGTTTTCATTGAAATGAAAGAAACACATCTGCTGTTTATGGGTCCACCTGTATCCAGAAGTGTTTCCAAATGTACGTGATGTTTGTTTTGTTTATTTTTCTGTGAAGGGTGATTAGATTTTATGGGTTCTATTTTCGGAAGCGAAAAGCAGAATAATAAGACCTGAAAGAAAATGAAGATGAATCTACCAATTTAGAAACCGTCACTAGTGATGAAGAGTTAGTAGATGAAGAATTTTCTGAAGAAGATCATGTATCTACGGTTGATGATGACAAAGATGAAAGCGAAAATTCGAAAAATGAAATAGAAGTTCTTAAACAAGGAGATTTACAATATACTGCTCGCGATGGGACAGTTTGGAACAAATATCCACCACCTCAGTCACGTGTAAGGTAAGTGGTGGCTCAAGTGCTACACATATTTTTTTACTGAATTTGTGGGTTTTACTAATTGCGTTGTATATTGTTTAGATCCATCAATATACTAAATCCTGTGCCAGGTCCCACCAGATATGCCACTCATCGAATTACCGATGAATCCTATATCTTCAATGAGATTGTTTTTCACGCATGAAATGCTCAATTTACTCTTAGTGGAAACTAATAGAGAACGTGGCAGCATATGTAATGAAAAAATGTTTAGGTACTTTAAAAGAAATATCACTAGAAGAGTTAGAAGCTTTTATAGGTAAATACTTTCATTGCAGTTATAATAGTACATTGTTTATTGGGTAGGAAAAGCTTAACATTCCTGGACGACTGTAAAGATTGCTAAGTCGAGGCGCAAGCCGAGACTTAGCAACACAGAGTCCAGGAATGTGGCTTTTCCTACGAGGTAAACATACTATTTTTCCGCAAATCGTTTAAAATTCGACAGATATTGATTGATTTAAAAAAAACGCGATAATTTTATTCCCAAATAAATGGTGCTTTGAAATTCCTAATAAAATTACTTGGGTTACTATGGAAACGTATTGAGGTTGAATTGTCAAACTTGACGCTTATAAATTTAATTGCTGGTGTTCTCGAAAGTAAAATGATAAGTGATGATGAAATTTCCATTCCTGGGACTCCTCCAGAGCTGGTTGAGGCAGTGAATACTGCTTCATTAGAATTATTGCCAAAGAAATCAAGAGAAAAGTACGAAAATGCATACAGACGTTTTATGGATTATCGCATGAGTAAAAATACGAGTTCTTTCTCAGAAAATGTTGTAATGGCATACTTCCTAGACCTTTGTTTAAAGATGAAATCTTCAACATTATGGGCCAATTATTCAATGCTGAAGTCAACCCTTGCACTTAAACACAATGTAGATATATCTACATACTCAAAACTTCGTTCTTTATTGAAACGGCAAGCTCAAGGTTATAGGGCAAAGAAATCTAAGATTTTAACGAAGGAAGAAATTGAAAAATTTATCCAGGAAGCTCCAGATAAAGAAAATTTAATGATTAAGGTAATTTACAAGGTTTTAATTTCTATTTAGATTATAGCTTTATTTATTTTTTAGGTGGCTGTAATATTTGGTATTTCTGGGGCCTGTAGAATGGATGAGTTAGTCCGAATGACTGTACACGATATAGAAGACTTAGAATCTAAGCTTTTAATCAGCATACCTGATTCGAAAACCAACAAACCAAGATCATTTGTAATTAATCAGATCTACTTGAATGTTTATCGAAAGTATGTTTCGTTAAGACCAGAAAATATGAACAGTGACCGATTTTTCTTTAAATATCAAAGCGGAAAGGGTTGTAGACAAGTGGTAGGAATTCATCAATTTAGAAAAATGCCCAAAATAATTGCTACTTATTTGAACTTGGTAAATCCGACAGAATATACTGGTCACTGCTTTCGTCGGTCTTCTGCAACAATATTGGTTGACTCTGGTGCCGACATAACTAGTTTAAAGAGGCATGGCGGATGGAAGTCATCAAACGTTGCTGAAGGATATATCGAAGAATCGCTTAACAATAAGGTTGAGGTGGCAAATAAAATTTTCACAGTACAAAATATTCAACAAAATGACACTTCCACCCTGCATGTTGTCCAAAATGTTTCTCATAGTTCTAAGAGTGTTCCTCCAATGTTCAATAATTGTACTAACTGTCAAATTACTGTAAATATAACAAATTGATCTTAAAAATGTATTCAGCAATGACTTGATGTTTTCAAAATATAAATTAATTCCTTATAAGCAATGTGTTTTCTATCATTTATGTAGAACACTAACAACTGTACGGAAATATCATTTCCTTACAGTAAGGAAATGACATTTCCTTACAGTAAGGAAGTCCTGACTTTTTCTTCAAGAAATTTTGACAGGAATGTCAAAATTTCCTGGCGATTTGCGGAAAAATAAATTAACTTAAAATTTTGCATTTTTAATTCAAGGTTTAC